GAGTGCATTAAAAAGGTAGCTGTTAAAACGATGAGGAGGCCAGCGACACTTCCCAACATTATGTTATATATGAACGCCACCACAACAAATTAAGCCGACACCTATGTTTACACAGCCGCAGACGTTATCACAAAGCAAGCGATCATTACGCGAATTGGGAATAATTCGAACATTCTGCAATCAGAAACTGAATAATCGATAGATTCAACCGATATGCGTTGCTACCTGTACACGTTACAACAAATTATTCAATAAACGAAATGTTGGGAGAAAAAAAAGTGGGAAATTGTGCGTTTATGGAAACAATGCTGGTGGCCGAAGTATAATATATTTTTAACGACTGATCCTAAATAGATATAAGGCATATAAACACAATTGGCGAAGATATAAAACCCTGAATTAATCTGAAAACGTTTTTTAGGCAGACTTACCCTAAAATCGTTGGTACTTTAGTTATCAACGCGATAGATTATATTCACAAAAATAAATATTAATAGTAGTAGCGATCGTAGCGATTACCGAAAAATCTCGGTTTCGTCCGCACGTTACTGCTACAACAAAATTCTAAAATCCATAAGAGTAAAACGGGGAAAATGGCGATGATAATAGTGAAAAGAAATTTTAATCGATTGTCAATGAATGCTGAAATGTGATCGACCAGAAAGAGTGTTATCAAAGAGAAAAGCGGGTCCAATGGAAATCCTTAGTATAGAACGGAAGGAGTTTTTTTAACGTAAGCGCGTTTCAATAACTTTTAGATAAACCGTTATGTGGTTTTCTGCACGACTAATGACCTATGGTAAAAGTTCTCCCTGCAAATTTACTCAAAAAAACTGGAAAGGTATAATGTTGGTAAATGAGAAATGAATTATATAAATTTCCCCATATTTGTAGTAACTGTACGCAACGAATAGAAAATCATTGAGAGCGGAGAGCAAATGCGGGATGGATTTACCTCTAAACTAACAACTTAAAGGTGACTACCAAGTGGCTAGTAGCTAATAATACTAGCAATTGTATGTAGGAGTATCTATGCTGTGTGAAAATGCTAACCAGCAATTGCGTATCGTCAAATATTCAAAGTGAGCGCTCAAGACGTTTTCTATTAACGTTTCGAGTGTGTTGAGAATCCCTATTTCAAGTATATTAATCATATTTGTACATAAATGCATTTATCTGCGCTTTTTAACTAACTATTTAATACATCGATTTTTATTGTTTTTAATTATGTGTGTGTGACCATGCTATCACGTACCTATTTATTTAATTACATTGTGCTTATAAATTGTTGATCCATTTATGGTAATGTTTGTGTACGTATTTGCATAATTTAGTGAAATATTTATTACACTGAACTGTTTTTATGATATATTTCATAATTTATTATAAAATTTTCAAATACAACTCCAATTAAAACAATAAAAACAGAATAAAATTATTTTGCAGAAATGCTTTAGCATTTTTTTAAAACCTAAAAGAGAATTTTGATATAATTTTTAAACAATTTCGCATATAACATTTTCGTGTACCTTACTGTTAAAGAAAAACAAAGAGACTCTTATTTGCCACAAGGCGTGTCCTTCTTATCTACTAGGCTTGTATAAGCTAAACGATATATATGAAGATCGTTCACTTTTTCTTCTATCTGAAGAAGTGTCAATAAAGCGATCCCTTCAATTAACCTTTTTTTTTAATTTCAGAACGATATCTAATATAATCGTGCTATTGGTTGTAAATTAGACTTAAAGTTTTTCTTTGTGATGTAGTCTTAGAAGCTTCTAACTATTGTAGGTTTGCCTATGCGCGAATGCATCCCTTTTCAGCTATTTTGTGAAGAAAGTTCATCGCAGGCAAACCGATAGACTGTCAGAAAGACTGTGAATGACTGTATCGGACCGGAAATATAGGTTCCCCTAATATTGTTGATGAACCTTTCAGACCTGGTTGTCTGACGCCTACATGTAGATGAGTGTTACAAAAAGATTCGTAATTTACGTATGCTAGCACATCCACCCTCGCCCCCCAAAATGCAAGGATATACAAATTCCACTCTTCAAACAAAATGAACAAATACAAAAAAAAAAATGTTTTCTATTTAAAATAAAACTCAAATTTTTTATGGTATTCGATTAAGATTGCATTTGTGTTTACACTAGACACAGGCAGTCATGTATACACAATTCATAATGACAACACTTTCATACATATATATTATAAATGTATATATGTATGTAAATAGATAGGTAAACATGTTTTTATATATGTGCACATATCTATGCATATTTGCTTAAGAATCTGGTTATACAAGTATATAAAACCACATGTCCATATCCTCACTGTTTATTTCACTTTTTTCCCTTGCCTTTCTGTTCGGTGGTCACTTTATATATATACCATGGTAATAAAAGGACAAAAAAAAAAGAAAAAAAGAAAAGGAATGACAAGCATAAAGAAAAACTGACCACAAAATATACAAAAATGAAAAAAGTGAAAAGAAGAAACACAACTAGAAAGACAGATATACATGTGGCTATTGTTACGTCTAAGTGTGTGTTTCTATTTAAATGAAAAGTGGCAGAGCATATGAAAAAGATGGATATGTTTAAGGTTTCCTTACAGAAGAAAAAAGAACGAGCCAAAAGTTTTTATGCAGGTTAGGACAGTTTTTAGATTCCCGTCTTTAAAATATCTCGTAAATTTCAGACAGGGAGGCCAATCGATAGAGACGACTTTTTACAACAAACACTTACGTGACTCGTTAGTAAATATAATATGGAATTAAAATTATATATATATATATATATATATAATATGTACTGCAGACTACATCAAATCTGTTGACTATTGTTTATCACGATTTAGTGCGCGAGTTATGCACATTTTTAAATATTAACTGAGGGTCTTATTCTATATGATTGAAGAGAAGTTCTTACGGATGTAGAATAAGTAGGCGGCCATGATTAAATCGAATAAGGATCACGACCCTGATCAGGACTCTTCTATCCCCAAATATGTCAGAACATTGCAATTACATCATCGTTCATAGCATGCCAGTTTTTTTCGGTCGTTGGTGGAAAAACATAGGCAGGAGAAAAAAATGTGGAGAGCAGAGTTTTGCAACCGGAATAACCGAGATGTTGTCAAACAATTTAAATTAAGACAATAACAAGTAAATGAACAAAAAATATAACAATATTATAAAAGGATATGGATTTGTAAAAAGAAAATAAGAAGAGAAAAAAAGAAAGAAAGATCAGCAAGGCGAATAAGCGAAATAGATAAGAAAAGAGCAACAGAAAAAGGCAAATGCTAATGAGCACCGGATGAACGGAAGAAGAGAAACATTTTATGAAAGCCCTTTAACGTTTTAGGAACGGAAAAAAGGGAAAAGAAAAAAGAAGATCATACGATAAAAATTAATAAAATAAATCCAGAAAAATTGCTCCCATGAGCAAAGTGATTATTATAAATTACTATATGAGTGAATGTGTGCACAAACAAACTCTTAGAATATCTATTATTTCTTTTCTTTTTTTTTTAAGTGTACATAAAATTTTGAGATGACTAATCTTTTCTAGGTAGTGGTCAGCATTGAGAGCCTGATGAATGATGGCTGAATGTGTGAACGCAAGTTAAAGAAACGCACACGGAAAGAAAAAAGCATTTCAAACTGAAAACGTATTTTAATTCATTATAAAAATAGCGAAATATTCTAATGACGCCATTTAGTTTGAACGGCAAAGTCAACAAAATTAACATTTATTTATTTATTTAATTTTATTTAACATTTTACTAATCTCGCATCAGTCGTGTTAGTCAAGTACTCAGCGTCCGACGTTTAGCTACCCCAACATTTTAAAAGTCTTTATTGTCACTCAACTATAAATTGTGTTAAATTTAAATTGTTTTTCGTTCGGCCACTCGCGTTAGCATGCTACGTCTACGAATGCAGTCTACATCATAAATGCTGGGCCATAAAAATGTGCAAAGCTTTTTTTTCGCTATAATTTTTTATGCAAATAATTCTCGTTCAAGACTTTTTTTTTTATTTTTATGTGCACTCTCTTCCTGAATATTTCGACATTATTCTTGATTGGTTAAAACTATATATATAATAAAAATGTATACACATATAAACTAAGAATATAAGAAAAAGTGGAGCCATTGTAACTGAATATGTATTTTGTGCATTGTAGTCAGCCGGTGGCGCCATAAGTTACATTTTGAAGGATTGAGTAATGAATTTAATGCTGTTCTTTTTTTTGTTTTATTTTTTATTCACAACAACACAAAAATCTCTTATACGCATTGAATGCATGTGACAGTTGCACTAATAATTCAACAATATGCATTTACTATAAGAATACTTGTGTGCATAAAATCTTCGAACAAACATAAGAGAAAAAACGACTATGAAAAATAGTTGTCAACAACTTTTGGCTATAACCTTAATGAAAATGAGGAAGAGGCCTGATTTGCAATTTCGAATTTTTTTTCTTTTTTTTTTACCATTAAAGGCGAGAAAATGTGTAGTTTGGTTGACTATATTCAGAAAACTGTTGGACTTTCACTCATAGTAGCCTTCTACGCCTTATTCTACAATATTATAAATGTGTGTAGCAATTAATAGTTTTTTTTAAAAAGTTATTCAGAATCTTGCCGAGAATTAGGCGTATTCGTTCAAAATTAATTTCCTTACATTTAAGTATACTTTCTGAAGGGTGAAAATTTTAGAGTCATCTGTTAAGAAAACGTCTTTATCGAAATAAATCTAAAATTTAAAGAACTTGTGACGTAATTTCTTTCTCTCTTTCTTCTTAAAACATCGGTTTCAACGTTCACTTATACATGTCTACTCCCGTTGCAAGTTAAGGAGATTTTTTTTCCCCTGTATATCAGTCGGTGATTATTTGGGATTCCATTCCCCAATATTAATACGTATTTATATACTTATATGTATATATGAAGCTAATACAATTAATTTTGTATTTCTTACTTACCCACTGCCAATACCGTTGAACATGCCACTAAGCTATAAATTAACAATATAAATCCGATTAGTGTATCACGTTGATAGTGCGGAGACATGTTGCTATTGTGTTGATTTTAGCTATAACGCTATAACTATTGTTGTAGTTCTACTATTATCCTCGCAGCAAAATTGTACGCACTTTCTCTTGTTCTATAAATTTAAATGTCTAAAGTTTCCGCAACTGATGTATTAACAGATATTAACGATTAAATGCACTTAAAATAACCGAAATTTTATATGGCTATGCTGCCAACATGTTCCTTTGGTATATATGTAACATTGAATTGTCTTTTAAGCGTCGTTCTTCATTTTCCTTCGAAATTCGGCTTAGGTTGACAAACAAAATTTGAATTTCGAAACAAGCTATCATTAATAATTTTTAAGAGTGCTTAGCGTTATTTTTTGCTCCCAAATTTTTGCTTTCGATTTGCTTTCTGGTTGATATTTTTAACTTTCTTCTCGTTATATACTGCAAATAAAGGAAAACAGATAAAATATATAAATATAAATATATATATATAAATATAAATATATATATATAAATATAAATATATAAATATATATATATATATATATATATATATATATATATA